AATTTTTTTCAGTGCGCTACAAACATTGTTTCAGTACTACATAAAAAATTACAAGCTTGCGCACATTGTCACTGGTTAGTCACATTCAGCAGAACAATTAGTTACTAATGAATTGTCTTTGCAGAAAAAAAACACTCGAGTTAAATATTTCTTATATAATCAGAAATGTTCGACCTGTATACGGAGTCAAATAAAAAAAAATCTACAGTGAATCGTAGCGTTTTGCGGGCGAAAGTTACCTAATCATATTCGATATGTGAGATTATCCGCATGCGCTTGTCCGCTTATTCTTACGTGATATTCATAGGAATCACGTGTCCTGCTCGTAGTTGTCCTCTACTTGGTCCGAAAATATTTCATAAGCTACATTCGTAGTTTTCACCATTCCTTCGTCGTTTATCTTACCAATAAGACTTGGTAATTAACAGTGCTATATTACACTAGCTTAAAATAAAAGACTCCTCTCAACAAGATATGGATTTTTACCAAAGCACTTTTCAAAAAATTAAATACTTTTATATTATGTTTTACCAATTATCTTTTAGAAGTATATGTAAGAAAGCATTTTTATGTCCAGTTTTAAATACGTATTAACCTTCCGAATACATGCATATAAAAACTTCTTTCCTCTTGCTGTTTCTGTCGAAGAATTTTAATTGTTTGCAATTAAAAATTTTAAATTACGTCAATTTTAGTTTGGTCCGTAATAGATCATTTGACATACGATTTAACACAACTTTATAACATAATTTGTTAACAAATTCTGTTAAAACTTTTGCAATGATTTTGTGTGGTCAGAAAGGACGCTGATTTTGTGGAACGTTTTATTCGTGCGAAAGAAACTCAAAACTATTTTATCCCAAATGTATTTAATACTTAACAAGCACTAATGTATTACATATATGTAATATGTTTTTGATTATTACAAATGATTTGTTTGCTGAAGGAAAGAAAAACCCGCAATCATAATTTTGTAGTTCCATTACTTTCACGTGTTTTCGTTGTTCGTTGGTTTAGTACCAAACTACGCACTTCTTTTCAGGATTCATTTGACTTCCCAGGGAACAATTGTAAATCTCGGAGAATTCACGAAAGTTCGAAAGACTGCCGCGAATCCTAATTTCTTTCGGAGATTGGCCAGGTAGATAATAATTATCTTGTTCTATCCGTTCCGGCAGAGCGGTTTCACAGAAGAACTAAAAGAAAAAATGATGTTAATATTTTCTGTAGTTTATGGATTTTTGGCAATTGTTTGATGGCTGTTGTTTCCATATATCTCATTGTACATTTTTTAATAGATACTTACTTGAGCATAAGTCAAGAAAAAGATTTGATCTTCGCTGTACTCTTCTAGTCCTTGCAGTCGCCACTCTGTTTCATTCAGTCTTGCTTTTCTGTTCTTGTACCCATAATATGCAGCAAGAATTCCAACAGAATCGGCAGAGTTTTCAATGACCGACATGTCTCCGTTTAACTAAAAAAATTAGATTACAACTTTTATATAGCTTAGAAACCACAGAACACTTATAGATTAATTAATTGCAAGAAACGAGTTTCCACTAAATATCTTGAAAATAAATTAAACTTTAGTCTACATTTTTATACATATGTTTCAATTTACTTACTAGAATATTCTCTAAACCCGGAACTAGATACTCGTTGTATTGGTCAACGAAACATTGCGTTATATTGTTGTAATTATTGATACTGTTTTGTGTCCACCATTGCTTAAGGTTGCCATCTTTGTCAAACCTATTACCTGTATTCAATACATTGCAGTATAAATTTTCTCACTGACATAAAAATAAAACATTACTTACTTATAGAATTGAAGGCAAGATTAATATTATGTCCAATAACAACTCCTAGCGATCCATAATTCATCAACCTAGTATAAAGTAAATGGAATTTTTTTTACATTTTCCTTTCGGAAACGATTTTCAAAACGTGGTACAAACAATAATACTCACGCAACACGCTTTCTGTCATACACAGGACTTTGTAATAAGGCAGCAGTTATAACTACAGAAAAAAGATACCAAAATATTGTAATAATAAAAGTACAAATTATTAACATTGTTTCATGATCAATTATTATATAAAGAATGTTTACCGATTTTATTGAGAACAGGAGAGTAGTATGCTTCCGGTTCTGTCGGTTCAAGAAACCATCTATTAAACAAAAATACAGGTATTAAAAATTTCTTAAGTTCTATACATCAATTAGTTTATACATATATATATATATATATATATATAAATATATATATATATATATATATAGCATTTGTACTATTGAGAACATGAATTGAAAACAGTTCATACACGTCTTTGGTTACGGGTGTTCTGAGCAAGTTCAATAGTTTCTTTCTCTCGAATTTAATAATATTTATGATATTGTCGAAATATCCCATACTAACGTTCAGCTAAAATGCATAACAGAAAATGCTTCTTTAGAAAAAATTGTCACAAAACAAAAACAAAAAAATAGTTACAAAAATAGAAAAGTGTAAAATATTTGTATTTGTATTTCTCATCTTACTTTTCTTCCTTTGTCAAAAAAAGAAGAAAAAATACTAACCAAGTTCTATGGTTTGAAAACACTGTGGTTCTAGATAATGTACTTACAATTTCGTAATATCTGGAAATACCGTCGTCGGTGTACCACTCGGGCTTAAAAAACGCGTAGTATATATACGCGATTTTCTCAAGAGATGCTACTTTTGTAGGTTCATCCATCCATGTGACTTTTTGTATTTGTTGATAAACAACGTTATAAACGTCCGTACGTATTTTTCTGATCTAGAATGATTTTATTTTTGAGGACGAGTAAACTTTATTTTACGTGTATTACTTGTATCTATTTTAATTATAGTAAACTTACGTCCTCTATGTTTTCGAGCGATATGTATTTCTTGATATATTCATGTGAAATAGCAGATTTTAAGTTGTGCGTTCT